TTCCTTTTCCGAATTTCGAAAAGATTGATCGCAGGAAAGGAATCCCCGTACCGTTCGATGCTCGAAAAAAAAAGAAATACGTGAAAAAACGACAGAGAACGAGAGTGCGTAATTTTTTTTTTTTTTTTTTTTTTATTCAACGAATCTCGGTTTCGCGTAATGAACAATATATGACCTGTTATAAAGATGCGATGTATTATTGACTATTACGATTATTCAGGACTCACACGAGTGACGTTAACGACGACAGCACCGTTACTTGTTATCATTGCTATCGCGTTGAAAGGGGGATAAGGAATAAAGCTTTGTCGTTGGGTTTCGATGATCGATCGGTATTCCGGGATATCCACTTGACCGTATACTATTCGCGAATCGATCGGGGACGGGGATGGCATATTCGAATCGTGGACAAAAGCTCTTTACATTCGAGCCACTCGAGGCTTAATCAGGTTTGAAAGAAAGAAAGAAAGAAAGAAAGAATAAAAGAATCGTAGCTTGGTATATATATATATATATAACGAGATACTCCGCTCTCTGCCCACGGGACCCTGATCTATTTTTCAGAATACGCTATTGTGATTATTACTATATGATAACATTTAAAGAAAAAAAAAAAAAAAACACTAAAATCACAAAAAACACCTTGTACTATTGTTTATTATACGATTCTGACGATGATTATTTATAATGTTAATAATCTATATTAACGATAATTACCGCATTATACCATTATTATATTTAGTACTATTTAGAGAGTGAGGCTGCTACTATATTAATGAATTAAGTACTAAGTAACGGATTAAGTAATTCATTAGACTTTATATATAAATATATAAATATTACTAAACATACTCTTCGCGTCAAACTGCGTTTATCGGTTTTCTCTTCGTATACACGTTGATTTCCTATACATATACGAAATATATATATAAATATATAAATATAAATATACATAAAGTATTGAATAATCACACAGTACGACTGCCTCTGACTCGATTTTATTTTCCGGGCGCTTGTTCAGTCAGCGTTACGAAACGTTCTTTCGTTTTACCCATTTACATTCGACGACTACGTTATTTTATATATCATAATAGACATAGACTGTACCACGAAATATTAAGTAAAAATAAATTTGATTAGGTAATAAAACAGCGGCGTCTTCTTCTTCTTCTTCTTCTTTGTTCTTCTTCTTTTCGTCAATTCCCTTTCTTCGTCGATTCTTATATCCCCCCCCTTAAAATGGGATCAAGGAATTTTGCGTAGAAAGGTAAGAATGGTAACGCTACGCAAAAGTTTGAAATCTTTAAAGAAAAAGAAAAAATTTTCTTCGAAATTAAGAAAATTTTAATTCGATTCTCTTTTTAAAAATTATCCATGCGACAATACAAATATCGATTTCAAACTTTTGTTGTACGACGTGAATATGAAATAAATCAACGCACACGGAGAATTTTTCCATTTTTATCCACCTTTATTTAATCGTAGCATATACTATTTCAAAGATTCGTAAGTACGATGTAGATAAAAAAGTACAAATATTTACAAAATATTGTAAAAAAGAAATCGATTACAAAACGCCTAGGGATATGAAAAACGTCGTGTAAAAATGGATCTTGAGTTCTCGCTGCTCGCTTACACTTTTCTCACCGTGTATGACTAGACATTAGACGTAATTAGGTCGCTTCGTTAAAAATTACTGGCGCAGCGTTTGTTCGGTGACGGTTTGTCAACCACGTCAATCCCTCGTCTTATCGTAAACCGAAAATCGTCCGAAATCACGAAGTGAAGCGAAGACACTCAGAGTCCTGCAAAAACTTAAATACGCAATATTTATATCTTACTTACGAATTGAATTGATTCGAACGAGAAAAATCGTATTTCCGTTTGTGATATTTAGGCGTGTTCCCTAATTGTAAAAAATTGTAAAAAAAAAAACGCAGGAGAAACATTCATTCAGAACGAATTTTCTCGAGAGAGACGACGAGAAATGTCGACGGGTCGACGACCGGGAACCCGGGAAATTCGATCGGCGAATGATATCAGCATCAGTTAGATCCGTGATGAACTCGACTAATTGGCCTTGCAACGATTACGAACCGCCAGTCAAGTTGCTGCAAGGTATGTTCCTAACGTACTTTTGTTTATATTACAAGAATATTTCTTGGCGTATACTGCGAACATTTAGGAAGCATTTGAAAATTCAGGCCGGACGCTTTGCGAGCGCAATCGCGAACGTTGTCGCTTGATCGGTCGATTTTTTTCTTGTCCAATTACTTGGTGATTCGAGATCAAACAGGCTATATATTATATATTAAGAGGGGAAAAAGTGATGAGATTCGTAATTATTTCTCACAAATTTTATGAAACAGCGGATTTTAAACTTTAAAAGATTCTGAAGGAGCACACTCTTGAGAAGATCTGAAGCGAAATGATTTTTCAAAGTAAAATGCAAATTTTATCTCGAGGATAGGAAGAAAATTTAGAAAAATTTCCCTGCTTAGAGAAATCTTAATTTCAGAATTCGTTCGCGGAAATGTTGTATGAATTTTCGTTCGAATGGAACGAACACGAAATTTATTTATAACGTGTAATATACTTTTAAAGGTGTCGCAAAATATAACAAAAAATACAATGTAATCCCAATTAAAAGATTTAAGAATCTATATATTGAAAACGTTTGAAAAAGAGTGTGCGGGATGAAAATATATAAAAATATAAAAAAAAAAAAAAAAAAAAACATCGACGACAATGTTCGAGACGCTCTTGCAAAATTATGATTTACGTAGGCACGGGGAAAAAAGATCCCCTCTCCCTCTTCCCCCCTCCTCCCCTTCCTCTTTTCCTACATACAAATATCTTCGAGGGTGCATTAAATTAGGGAATGGTCGTATTCGCTATGATTATGTGAACGTTTAACATTACAGAGATTACTCATTGGCAGTGTTTATCTTACTGTCTCGTACATCTATATGCGTATATGATACATAATATACTTTATATTGCGTGAACGTATACAGAGCTGAGGATATAATTCGAATACTGATCAATCTTCTCTCTCTCTCTCTCTCTCTCTCTCTTTCTTTCTCTCGTATCTCGAGCCAGTATCGATAGATCAATCGAAGAGGTCGGTTTTCAATTACTCTCGATGTTACAATTTTAAGAGGCAGGCAGCTCTGTACGTCGTATTTACACGCGATCTTTTGCGCGAATTATTATTATTATTATTATTTTTATTATTATTATTATTATTATTATTATTATTATTATTATTATTATTATGATAATCATCGTAGCATCGTATCCGAAATAGCACATATATCTAAGGACATCAGGATACACGTGAGAATAATTAAATTCTCGAGAGATACTTTCTTACAATTGGATGTACACTGTGGACTATGGAGAATGAATCGTTCGAGAGTAATTTAACATCGTTCAACATTAACTTTACCAGTCGAAAATTCGACTCTCAACACCGACGTCCACTCGAAAGAAATAGCCTCGAGAGTAATTTCTACTATCTCGAATGTATCCTCCATCCATAACGCGATCGTATCCGATATTCCTTTCTGAATTGTAAAACCGTGATCTATAATCCCTTTTACTAATCCTGTAAAATAAAAAAAAAGAAAAAAAAGAAGAGAAAAAACTTGTTCGCGCGGTTCTTGGTTCTTTTTGTGTTCGAATCCTTCGAACTCGGGAAAATGAGATATCGAGAAAACTAAAGAGAGATTAAAAAGGGGGTAATAAAATTGTCGAAAATCAAATCTTCGGAACGGAAAGATCGATTCTTCAACGAAAGAAAAAAATGAAAAAGAAACGAAGTGAATTTCGTTGGCACGAATTTCGCGATGCGTATTCAAACGACGCAAAGTTTTTTCGATATGTTCTCGAGAAAGGCAGGTAGATCCTTGATCTTAGAATTTTTCGATTTCGTGACCCGACGTAAAGTCATCTTATGTCGTTCTTACTTAATATTGACCAGCACACAAAGATTTCCCCATCGAAGAAAATGAAATAAGAAACACATGAGAACGGTCGAGCGTTGCGATCCTCTTTTATCTATCTCTCTCTTTCTCTCTTTCTTCCTTCCTTTCTTTCTCTCTCTCTCTCTCTTTTTCTATATATATATATATATATATGAAAAATGAAAAACTCGAATCTCGCGATTGTTACTTAACAAACTTAAGCTTACACGGTATGTACAAGGCCGTTTTATTCTTTCATCTTGTTCGAGTCGACATCGAGTAATCGTTCCTCCCTATTTTCCTCCCCCTTTTTGTTATCGCCTTGTGCGATAGATGACACACAAGATGACCCGTGGCGGCCACGATCCTAGGCTACTCGAAACACCGAGTTCGATATTCGAGAACGGATATATACGCGAGTAACATCGCTCACCTAATCATCTATCTCCCCTGTTACGCACACATTATATTATGTATAATATTTATATATTATGTACGTGTCTCTCACACAGACGCCGAGTGTACGCTATAAATAATCCTTAAGCCTTAGACCTTAGACGGGTAATACAATCGTGTATAAGACGTGAATTTAGGCGGGATATAAAAATCGTCGTCGTTCGTTCAACGTTGATATGGTCGTGGTACTTTCTTGTTAACGATGCATTCACACTTTCGTAGCTTGCGATTTTCGTGTCGATGAAAAAAAAAACGACAATAGTAGCGATAAAATCTTACGAATATATTCGATGTGCTGTGATCGATATATCTATATCGTTTACACTGATATTTGAATACTAAATATTGCGTTATTACAGTCGTATAATATTTGTAGCGTGTACTGGATCGTACGTATCCTTAATTAAATCCTGACTTTACCAGTCATTGGATCGGATCCTTTTCTCTTTCTCTTTCTCTTTCTTTCTTTTCCCCCCCCTTTCCTTTTCCTTTTCCTTTTTCTTCGTGAGAAATAAATTATATATCCTTACCGACCTAATGGACGCGAGAGAATACCGCGGACACGAGTAACGATCGGGCGGGACGATGGTCGATCGCCGAGATGATGGATCCGCGCGATTATTATCCCTGTCGCGGTATCCTTGGATTTAGAGCCTCGTGGCGTCGTCTAGATCAACTGTCTAGAGACAACTGTCGACGACAATTTCACCTATTTTCGAGACGACCTCGTCGAAAGTCGGTCTCTCCCTTGGGTCGTTGGCCCAACATTGAGCTTGAAGTTCTTGCAAAGAGGGCGGCGCTGCCTTGTGAGGTTTCCACGCGAGGGTTTGAGCTTTCAGCGCGGCCAACACCGATTCGTCGTTCATCTTGTTGAACGGCAACTCACCCTGATGGAACATCTCCCAGACGAGGCAGGAGAAGGAGTAGACGTCGCTCTTGGTCGAATACTCGTCCTCGTATACCGCCTCGTAGGGCAACCATCTCAGTGGGATCACTTGGTTTCGGTGCTTGGTGTATTCCTGTTGATACGGTTCTTTGGTCATGCACGGCAACGAGATTTTGATGGTCAGGTTGCTGGCGATCAGGCAATTTCGGGCTGCTATGTCCTTGTGGACGAGGCGGGTGTCCGCGAGATGCTTCAACCCTTTCGCCGCCTGATTGGAGAGGGAGAGGATCTGCGCGACGGAGAGCTGGGGCGCCCGCGGTGGTTTCGACTCGTGCGTGGGGCTCGAGGTGTTGTCCTTGCGCGAGGCGATCAGGAATTGCTTCAGATCGCCCCAATCGGTGTACTCGAGGATCATGTAGTCCGGCTCCTCCTCGCGACAAAGACCGATCAGCTTCACCACGTTCTCGTGGTTCAACTTGTGGAGAAGATCCAGGTGACGTTTGAACTCTTGGAGAGCGATCTCGTCCTTCGTGTTGATCAAACTCTTCACCATCACCAGGCACTCTTTGTCGCCGTCCACTTGATACTTGGTCGAGTACACCTCGCCGAATTCGCCGCGGCCGAGCGGTTTCAATTCTTTCAAATTGCTACGGGAAACGGCGATCTTGTCGTAATTCGACTTGGACTTCTTGGACTGGTTGCTGCTCTGACTCTGGGCCGTGTCCGCCCCGTCGCTCTTATTGTGGGAAGAGTCGCGATTCTCCTTTTTCTTATTGGCCGTCGAGTTCATCTTGCTCGAGCTGGTCTCTTTCAGCTCGGTCTGTTCCTCCTGGACCTCTCCGTTCTCCAGTTTTTCTGCGCGATCATGAATACATGGGATTATTTTCGCGGTCTCGCCTACGACGGCGCGAAGTCTGAAACGGTTTCGTTCAGCGATCGGAGGAGATAGATACCTTCTGCCTGCTCTTGGAGATACTGCTGCTTCCTGCGACGGCGTCGGTAACGACAGTACAGCATTAGGCCCACCACCAACACCATATAGGCAGCGGCCGCGCTCAATGTGATCGTGATCGTCTTCGTCATCATAGAACCGTTGTCACCCGCTTCCAAATCCATGTCGAATCTGTACGTGTCTCCGGCTGTGGAAGACAGATCGTGTCGTTCGACCAATACGCATATCTCCATACCCTATCCCCGAGAGGGCACAATCCTTCTGGAAAACGCTATAGAACGGAGAGCAAACTTACCTTTCACGTTCAACTGAACTTCTTCCCTCTTCAAACCGCCGCTATTGCCGGCCGTGCATCCGTACTTTCCCTCGTCGCCCATGTACACTTCCTTTATGTACAAACTTCCGTTCCCGAGCACCTCGAAACGGGAATTATTCAGATTGTTCATTCGAGAGTCCCTGTCCCATTGGATGGTCGGTTTGGGATCACCTTCCGCCGCGCAGTGCAACATCACCGGGTATCCCTCGATCGCCTCCGTCGGATTTTGCGGTTGGATGGTAAACTTTGGCGCAACTGGAACGAATCGAGCAACGATCGATATACCAAGATCCAGAAGAAGAGAGAGAGAGAGAGAGAGAGAGAGGAGACACTCACTGACTACGTCGATACTGATCGTGTGGTTGATCGATCCTTGGGCGTTGCTGGCTATGCACGTGTACCGACCCTTGTCTTCCTCGAGAACTCCATTGAAATGGAGAGTTCCATTGATATCTTGCACGTGCTTGGGGAATTCTTCGCCTGACCCCTCTTTGATCCACTTCACCGTGGGATTAGTGGCGCCCTGAGACTTGCAAGGCACTTTGGCCGTCGAGCCGAGCTCCAGCCGCTTGTCCACCGGTTGCGGGGAGAACTTGAGCTTCTCCTCGACGGTGAGGCTGGCTCGTTCCGAAAATATCGACGGGAAGCCTTTCGTGGTTATCTCGCACGTGTAGCTGCCCTTGTCGGACAGGTCGGCGCTCTTCAAGTGCAGGGTCACGTTGCCGTGGTGATCGGTTACTCGCTGCCTCGTCGGCCCGCCGCTCTCTTTCAATGGCTCCCCGTCTTTCAGCCAACGAACGTGGGTCACAGGCGCGTCCATGCCGGAATAGGAGCACGTCATCGTCACGGAATCTCCTTCCATCACGCTCAGATTCTCCGGCGAGCCTGTCAACGTCGGCGGAGCTGGAAACGATTATCATAAGCTGGACCATCTCGAGTTTTATTATCCTATCCTACGAATGTATATTTTTTCCAATGAAAGAAAATAAATTCCAACAGGTATTGCAACACGTATTCTTACTGGAGATGACCACTTGGGCGGAAATATCGGTCTCCCCGGCCATATTCTCGGCTACGCAAGTGTAATTGCCGTCGTCCTCGCCTATCCTCGCCTTCGCGACGATAAGCGTGTTATCCTGAACGCGCACTGGGCCGGAGTCGCTTATAATGTGCCCCTTGGGATCCCTCCAATAGACTCTCGGAGGCGGGAGACCGGACGGTTCCAAACAGCTGACTTGCAACTCCTGCTCCTCGCCAACCACGGCCACTTGGTTCGACAACAGGGGTTCGAACGAGGCCGCGGAGAGGTTCATCAGATCTGAGACACACGATTCGTCGAAATTCCACTATCCGTCTACTTATCACCGCTTCGCCAAAAATTCAATTATCCCTTACAAGCTATTTGAAGATCGACCGTGTAGCTGATCGTGCTCTCTCCCCGATCGCCGTGACAGGAGTAGAATCCTTGGTCCCTGTGCTCGGCGGATCGTATGACCAGCGTGCCATTCTCGAACACGGTCCTCTCGTCGTCGGTCTCGAGCGGCCCCATGTCCTTGAAGAACCACTGGACGGAGTCAGCGTCCTCGAACACGCAGTGGAGAACGGCCGGCTCGCCCCTCTTCGCGACCAGGTCCCTCGGAACGACCTTGACCGAGGCGGTCTCGTTGCTCGAGACGATCAGAGGGAAACTTTCCATTTTTGGAGAGGACCCGGCGTCGTTCTTCGCGAGGCAGTTGTACATACCACTGTCCTCGGCCACGGCTCGGTGCACGTGCAGCTTCTTCTTCTTGATCTCGATCCGATCGCCCCTCGCCACCGGCTCGCGGTTTCTGCGAACGATAAATAAATTCATCCGCGGATGAACGAAGCCCCTCCCCCAGGGGGAGGAGGGGATCGAAGGACGAAGAAAGGGCCCAAGTTTGGGGCGAAGGATGGATGGATTTTTTTCATCGATAGAGGGGTTGGGAATCTCGTCGAGATGTCGACGCGAGAGGGTTGCAAACTCGCAAGGGCGAGGTGAAAAGCTAGCGAGGGGAAAGAAAGAGAGAGAGAGAGAGAGAGAGGGTGAAAGGAAAATGTCGCTTGATAATTCAAGGGTAGTTGCGTAAACGACGGGTGTCAGTTACGCGACGCGAGATTGAAGTTCAGTGGAGAGGAGTTGGTTGGTTTGCCCTCCTGAGCCTCGCTCCACGTATTATCAGGCTGTTATTTCCGCGATGGAGGCACGGTTAAATAAACGTGCAAGTTATGTAACGAACCTGAACCACTCGTACTTGATGTCCCCGGAGCCGTCGACGTGACATCGAAGTTCAATCTCGCCTCCCACGCGGATCGCTGAGGGTAGCTTGGGCTGCTGGAGTTGCACGCTCGCCTCGCTGATCCCTGAAACAGAAATTGTGCGCGAATCGATCAGGGCTTGCTCGCGAATAATTTAACCGTTTCCAACGCCGCCCGCCGCGTTCTCTTCTCTCGTTTTACGCATGCAAATTTCATTCGATATCGGTAAATACTTTTAGGGGGGGGGGGAGGGCGGCCGATTCCTTCCACGACGCGGTTTGTATCGACCCTCCTCCTCCTCCTGCTCCTCTCTTCTCGAGGAAAGGAGGAGCGGAAAAGGGGCTCCCGGCGAAAGTTGAGCGGTGGTAAACAGCGATGGACCAGCGGCGGCACGGTGAAGAGCCGGCGGCATCTCAGTTCGTGGATCGGGAAGAATCATTTTCAAGAGCAAGGTCGTTTGCGGAGCACAAAAAGCGGGGGACGAGGAGCAGAGGGGAGGGAGAGAAAGGGAAAAAAGGGTATCGAGTAAGTGCGCCCTTTCCTCGAAAAAAGTAAAGGAAAAAAGAAAAAAAAAAAAAAAAAGAAAGAAAGAAAACGTCGTAGCGAGAAAGGCAGCCTCCTCTCGGTGGTTCATGAATCCTTAAAACGCGAGTGAAGTTATTTGCCGACGTCTTTCAACAAAGTCTGGGTAAATTAAGAAAAAAAGAGGAGGACGGCTCGAAGCGTTTGTTCCGCGCAAACCAGAGGACATCGCCGAAAGTCGATGTCAAGGAGGAGAAGGAGGAGGAGGAGGAACTCTTTTCTTCTCCTTCTTCTTCTTCTTCTTCTTCTTCTTTTTCTTATCCGTCCCCTTTCCTTTTTTCTTCGAGGACCGAGTCCTTCTCATCGTCGTGGTCGTGGTCGTCGTCGTCCTCGTCCTCGTCGTCTGGAGGACGAGTCCTGTCGCGGATACGAACGGGACGGATCGAAGGAAGGTACGGGGCAAAAAAGAGGGGGGAGGGAAAAACAAGGGATTCGAGGAGGAAGAAAGAGACGCGGACGGATTCGATCGGACTCGTTTTATTCGATTCGATTAAAATCCGAGGGGGAGGGGTTTGTGCGCATCGACCTGGAGCGGTAGGTTACACGCTCGCTCTCGAATCCTTGTTTGGAGCAAGAAGGAAGGAGGAATCGGAGCTGACATTCCCAGAGAGCTGACTTCCACCCTCCCTCTGGCTCCCCTTCCTCCTCTCCCCTCTCGTTCCTCTCCTCCCAGCTTGGTCCAGCACGGTTGGGAATTGCTTTCCCTTCCATTGTCCTACGACTGCTCTTTCCTCGTTCTGGAATTCCGCCCGCCGGTTCCGTAATCGCGCTTTCCACCGCCGCCTTCTTTGCCGATACGCGCTTCTTCTCTCGTCGGGTAAAGGGAATGGAACAAGCCCGTTCTCGTATTCTCGGCCACGTTCTCGTTCAACTACGACTCGTGGTTTCTATCGAACGTACGAGTTTCGTGGGTTATTTCGCGCGATTTATGCGACGCACGCCCCGTACGCGAACGCAGGGACATTTCTCGAACCATTTTCGAGAAACGGGGATGCGCATACGAACAACATGAGTCCCGACAAGATGAATATAATCGTATATATTCATAAATCGTAAATTATATTTCTCGTATTATTTTTAATTTTCTTATTGCCAAGAATATATCGTGCGAATACGTGTGAATACGAAAAATATTCGTACAAGTCTTTATTTCCCCTCCCATAATACGTTTACTTATTATAATAGTTTCTAATCTTTGAATTATTGTTAATTAAATTCTAATAAAAAAAATTTTACTTTCTATAAAAAATCTAACTATATACAATATACACTAACTGTAATGTATACAACTTCACTTTCTGTAACCGATGGAAACGAAAATAGTTTGCAAGTTAGTAGTAATTAAAATTAATTAAATTTAATCAATTAAAAAAATTAATTAATTAAAATTAAAATTTATCGCGGATTGAAAATTACGGGAAAATTTATCAGTTTTAATATTCAAGTAAACATCTTTAAAGTATACGGATTTACAAGGTGGAAACCGCAGACGAGTTAAGGAAGGGAGAGGGGGCCAATGACGAGTTGATCCCTGGAAAGGAAACTCGAGACAGATATCTCGAGGTTAACTTACGGACAGTTTACCGGGGACCGTCAGAGCGATAAGGCTTCCTCCGTAGTTAATTTGAACTAGTTATCCTTGGCGATCGATCATCGTGCCCCGGAAACCGGAAACCGTAATTTCCAGCTTCCGATCGGATTTTTTCATTTCTTCCCGCGGGCGAGTGAAACGATCCAATAAATAGATAAAATCCGCGATGGTCACGCGTTGCCGATGTTTTCAAGCGTTTCGAAGGCAATCCGTTTAATTGCCTCGGTGCCTCGACAACGCTCCCCCCCCTCCCCGTCCACGTTTCATTCCATTACGGATCGGGGAAGAATGGCGCGCGCTGATTCCACGGATATAAACCTGTCACCATCGATCCGATTTTTGCATTACAAAATTAACCCCCGATCCGGGAAAATCGCCGCCGACCACGGAAAAAAGTCATTAATCGGATCCGATCCGATCGATTATTCGCGAGCCTCCGAACTCCTCCGATTTCGACGATCGAAATCTCGACTTTGAATCGATTCGCAGGAGATTATGAAACGATATGAGTCGCTGAAATTGTCGAAAAAAAAAAAAAGAGAAAGAGAAAGAGAAAGAGAAAGAAAGAAAAAAGTGGCGGGAATGGGAATTTGCCTCGCATGGATGGTTGGTTAGCCGTGAAATGGAAAATCCGACTACTCTCGTCGCATCCCCGAGGTGGTATTATTAACAGCCGACTGGGCCCCTCGTAGCCTGTCCAATCTTTTTTACTTTTTATACCCACGACGATCCTCCTCCTCGGGGCTCGTCCTCTTTTTTTTTTTTTCTTTTTTTTTTTTTTTTCTTTTTAATCGAGAGAGCTGTTAGCTTTTCCAGGAAAATAATTTTTCGCGGAAATGACTCGAGACGCGTACCGCTAGGTAGTAGACGCCGGTGGATGATTACTTTGCGAATTAATCCTTTCCGCCAATGCGTGAGTACATATATCTCCTTTTCAATCCTCCTTCGATACGAATGTTTCTTTCTTTCTTTCTCACTTTTTAGTTGTATATTTTAGGGAAAGTGAACGAGACGCGAAGGCTCGAGGTTCGATTCGAACGGTTCGGAGGGGTGAAAATGAAAAGTGAAGGGGTGAGAGAGAATGCACACCAGAGGTCGGGAGAAGACCAAACCCGCCTCCCCGCAGAGGAGAGATGGCCCGCGATGCTCGACTCGTAATTCCTCACCCCTTTTCTCCCGTTGCAGGGCCTTGGGTGCGCGCGAGCGGATTAAAGGGCCGCGTTAAAATGCCCGCGCGGCGGCTCTTCTCCCGCATTGAGTCCATTAAGCAGCATTAAATCTCGAGGAGTTATCCTCCTCGAGGAGGAGGAGGAGAAGAAGAAGGAGGAGGAGGAGAAGGAATATTTTCGAGGGCTGGCGGCCGTCCTCGGCGCACAATGCGACGATAAAGAGTGACAAAGGAGGAAGAAGAAGAAGAAGAAGAAAAAAAAAAAAAAGAAAGAAAAGGAAAAATCGGGGGAAGCGATGACCGTGACGGAGAAGAAGGGGGACGAGTTGGGAGGATGCGAGTTGGGAGAAGATGGTCGGTGAAAGAAAGGAGGGGAGGGGTATAAGGAGGGCTCGTTTGTAATCGCGAAACTCACTTTACGTCCCTGAGGTCCCCACGAGATTTTTCTCCGCCACTCGACTCTCTCTCTCTCTCTCCCTCCCTCCCTCCTTCCATCCCTCAACTCTTTTTCGGCGCGTTTCTCTCTTTCTCTTCGGTATCACCGGGTTTTCCCCCGGTATCCTCGTCGGCCGCGCTACTCGGAAAGCCGTGTTTAAATGCACAAACGAAGCGAGAGATCAAAGGCGCCGCCGTGCGCGCGCGCGCTAAGTGAGAGCGGGAGAAGAAAAGACGAAGAAAAGGAAAGCCGAAGCGAGAAGGGCAGCGGTCGCTGAGAGAGAGGGAGAGGGAGAGAAAGGGTGGGGGAAGAGAGAAGGAGCGAGAGAGAGGAGCGTTTATTATTATCATCGTGTACACCGTCCAACGAAGCTCCCTGTCAGCTTCACCGGCATCCACGCAGTCGGGATTAACTTTGGTGTAAACATCGGTGGAAGACGCGCGTGCGTCGCGAGAATTCTGTAGGTACAGTAACTACACACTTGAAGAAGCCGACTTCTGCGCAGGCAACCTTGGCTCCAAGCATCTGAATGATGCCCCGACCGCACGCCACTTCCTTTCTCACAAGGATTCTACTCTTTTCTCACGAGTAACGTGGATTTCGACGTGCCACGCGATAGGAGGTTCCTCGAATCGAGTGCATTTTGTTGGATTCGATTTCTGGGAAGGATGTAAGTATGTAGGATGGAAGAAAGTGTATATATATGTACATATATGTTACAGGTAAATTTAAGGATATATAAGGATTCACGAAATAATAAAATTTTAAATATATATATATATGCTCTGATATTTTCTTTTCAATTATTGTACCAATTTATCAAATATCATTGTAGATCATCGTTTATTAATTGCAATTGAATTAAATAAAAATCTCAATATATAATTTAGTCCTTTGCGATCTTGTGTGATTACGTACATAAAATAGCTTTTCGATAATTTTTTATGTATTATTTCAATTAAACTCTAAACTTTATCCTGAATATATTCGTACGACGCTAAGTTTATCCATTCTCTAACTTCACTCGCAGCACGTGCACATGTATGTTACGATGAAAATAATTAAAAAATTTGAAGGAGGCCAATATTCGAAGAATAAAACGAGGGGCCTTAACGAGCCCCGCCTGTGTCGGATGTAACGCGATATTTCTTTTTCCGAGGGGAGATCGGGAACGGATCGAGAACACGTCGACAGATGCGTGTAATCTTTCGGGGGAATTGTGCGCGTTACGACACGGACCACCCAGACAGGACACAGTAGTTTCAGTCGGTCTGTGGCCAGGCGTTGCCAAATTACTGGAAACGTGTTGTTGCGTTTACGAGGTAAGT